TCAGGCATGGCTTCGACAAGGCCGTACGCAAAGAGCAAGGGGCACTGGACGCCGCCGTAGAACAACAGACCGTGAAGATCGCCGTCTAAGATTATTGGCCTTAAGGGACCGTTTCTCCACTACCAGGTCCATTGCAAATGAATGGTTTGCAGAACACGGAAGACCTATTGGCATGCGAAGTGTTTACCGATGAATGAGAAGTTTTGGCTTGTTTTCATACCGGCCACACTGGGTCCTCCCTTTAACTCGAGAACACCGACGTAATCGCCTTGAGTGGTGCAGACAACGGTCACTCTGGGATCAAGAATGGAACAGTATTGTCTTTAGTGACGAGTCTCGATTTTGTTTAGGCATGCACGATGGTCGTGCCAGGGTTAGAAGGCGACGTGGTGAAAGGAGGAATCCACAGTTTTTTGTTGAAAGACATGTTCATCACACTGTTGGAGTTATGGTTTGGGGTGCTATAGCTTATGGTTCCAGGTCACCTCTAATCTTCATCAGAGGTAACATGAACGCGCAGCGTTATATCCACGAAGTTCTAGAACCCCATCTTTTACCCTATCTTGACACCCTGGCAGATCCAACTTTCCAACAAGATAATGCCCGACCAAATGTTGCAAGAGTCCCAATAGACTTCTTTCAACATAATGATGTCACATTGTTACCATGGCCACCAAGATCTCCCGACTTATCCCCAATTGAGCACGTGTGGGATATGATGGGTAGGAGATTGCTCAATTTGCAACGTCCTCCTCAGACTCTAGAAGCACTTCGAGAGTAGTTGGTGGTTGCCTGGAATGAGATACCACAGGAGGACATTGACCACCTGATCAGAAGCATGCCTAGGCGCGTTGGAGAATGCGTAGCACATCAGGGTGCATCCACACATTATTAAAGGTCATTATTAAAGCAGTGCAATCATTTTGAAATTTTTATCATTTACTTATTATGGTTCATTAAGTACTTATACAAAATTTTATTAAAATAAAACCATTTAAACTGGGTGTTCGGATTTATATGTCACTTAGTATATGTTTTAATAACAATACTCGCCTTTACATCATTAGCGGGGCCATCGGAATATCAGCAACCCACTTCCTGCTAGTTTTTGCGACACGTGAAACACTCCTGACTGTGTTCTGCGGTCAGCTACATGTAGGTGACCTTCATTACCTGGATGTTTACCTACCTCCTCACTACCTGCTATATCACAGACACCACATTTAAACTGCATGTAGGATTTAGGATATCACAATATAATTTCAGACACCTCCCCAAAAACTATTTTAACGACGGAGTGATGCTACTCTTCTATATAGTCCATATCATTTCGCTGCTACCTAAATTAGGGTGTCTCTTATATTGGCGAAAAAAAAATTTTTTTGAGATATTGAAACGCATACGCTCCAAGTTTTTTCGAAACTCTTTAACATAGTCAAAAACAAAATTTTATTTACCTGTGGCAATACGAGGGATGTCTTTTAAGTTTTGCATATAGAAATAAAACAACACGGTAGGTATTTTTAAATGACTATTGTTATTCGAAGTATTCTCCACAAAGATTAATACACATCTGCATGCGCTCGAACCAATTTTCGAAGCACTTATTCCACTCGTTTGCTGGCAGATCCAAAACGGCATATTTGAATGCGTCAACTGCTTCTTCTGGTGACTGGAACCTTTGACCACGCAGCCTGTTTTTAATTTTCGGGAAAGTAAAGAAATCTTTAGGACTTAGATCGGGACTATAAGGAGGATGGTCCAATAATTCCTCGTTTTCTTCCGTTAAATACTGCCTTGTTTTTTGGGCTGTGTGCGAGCTTGCATTGTCTTGGTGGAGGATGATTCTTCCTTCGGGGTTGATTTTTCGAAGCTCGGAGATGACTTTTGGCAAACAAATGGTGGTATACCAATCCGCAGTAACAGTTCCAAGCTTATGAACCACCTTAGGCGCTAATGCTATGTTGCAATTCGGTATTTTTGGAGGACAGAAAATGAAAGAGGTATGTGCAGCTTGGATCGCTTATTTTTGTACATGTCCTCTCTTGGCCTACTCTAGTGATAGAAACAGTTGAGAAACCATCCTCAGAGAACAATTCCTGAAATGCGTGTGAAATTGCAAGAAATCTGGAATATATTTACCCAAGAAAACTGCCAAGGATTAGTTAAGACTGTGCCGGCAAGAGTTCAGGCTGTAATTAAGGCAAAAGGCGACGTAACAATTTACTAGTTAAGTTAAATTTTGTAGTGCCAGAATATTAAGTTGCCATACATTTTTGTAAAGTTTAGTTTGTTTTTTTTTCATTAAAATTAATTATCAAGGAAAAAAGATGATACTATTGAAAATATGCCACAACTTGTGTATACAAATACTACCAATAAACGTTTTCGGTACAAGTTTACAATCTTGTTTAGTTATTTTATAGGACAATTTGTACAAAATTTAATGTTGTCCGAATATTTAGTTGTTTGGGCTCGTAATAATAGCTACACAATTACATAACAGATTTGCAGAGGGCCTCAGTAGAAGTCACATTTATTTCGAATAAATCAATTCTATTTTTTACATTGTCCAGACATATACACATGGAATATAAGGGAGATTGCAAGACTGAGAATATATCGTACAGTTTCCCGCGCTAATCAGCTAGGGCAGTGGTCGCCAAGCCCGTCGATCGCGAGCTACGAGCATCTCGCAAAGGAATTCTGATGGCTCACAACATATTTTGAAAGGGTGTAAAAATCATAGAAGCTTCCGTAAATTTTGTAAAATCTCACAATAAATACAAGCAGCGGCAACACTGCGGTGAGCGATCTGTTCGAGAACGATCTCGATTACTCTGATAAATATTCAGTTTTATGTCGTGTTGCCTAGAAAGTGAAAGCGTTATTTAGTTCAACCTATTTTTTGAATATGAAGTAAGTTTATTAGAAACAAATACCGTAATCGACGCACAGATGAACATTTAGATAATTGTATTCAAATGGCGGTATCAAATTATTCTCCAAAAATTAAAAAAAATGTCAGTAAGTCTGTGTGGCTTCTCATTGAACACGCATTTTTCATCTGGACATGTTTTTGTTTAAAATAGTGCGTTGCTTTTTTATTATTAGTTACATTTATTAAATCGTATGTGACATGCCATTGTAGCTGACGAAAAACTTTGTTTATTGTTCAAGCACCTACGATTGGTAGGAAAACAGATGATACTATTGAAAATATGACACGATTTTTTTATACAAATACTACCAATAAACGTTTTCGGTACAAGTTTACAATCTTGTTTTGTTATTTTATAGGACAATTTGGACAAAATGTAACGGTGTCCGAATATTTAGTTGTTTGGGCTCGTAATAATAGCTCCACAATTACATAACAGATTTGCAGAGGGCCTCACTAGAAGTCACATTTATTTCGAATATAACAATTCTATTATCTACATTGTCCAGACAAATACACATGGAATATAAGGGAGATTGCACGACTGAGAATATATCGTAAAGTTTCTCGCGCTAATCAGCTAGGGCAGTGGTCGCCGAGCCCGTCGATTGCGAGCTACGAGCATCTCGCAAAGGCAATTCTGGTGGCTCACAACATATTTGGAAGGGTGTAAAAATCATAGAAGCTTCCGTAAATTTTGTAAAATCTCACAATAAACACAATCAGCGGCAACACTGCGGTGAGCGATCTGTTCGAGAACGATCTCGGTTACTTTGATAAACATTCAGTTTTATGTCGTGTTGCCTAGAAAGTGAAAGCGTTATATAGTTCAACCTATTTTTCAAATATGAAGTAAGTTTATAAGAAAACAGATGATACTATTGAAAATATGCCACAATTTTTTTATACAAATACTACCAATAAACGTTTTCGGTACAAGTTTACAATCTTGTTTAGTTATTTTATAGGACAATTTGGACAAAATGTAATGTTGTCCGAATATTTAGTTGTTTGGGCTCGTAATAATAGCTACACAATTACATAACAGATTTGCAGAGGGCCCAAGTAGAAGTCACATTTATTTCGAATATATCAATTCTATTTTCTACATTGTCCAGACAAATACACCTGGAATATAAGGGAGATTGCACGACTGAGAATATATCGTGCAGTTTCCCGCGCTAATCAGCTAGGGCAGTGGTCGCCAAGCCCGTCGATCGCGAGCTACGAGCATTTCGCAAAGGAATTCTGATGGCTCGCAACATATTTTGAAAGGGTGTAAAAATCATAGAAGCTTCCGTAAATTTTGTAAAATCTCACAAGAAATACAAGCAGCGGCAACACTGCGGTGAGCGATCTGTTCGAGAACGATCTCGATTACTCTGATAAATGTTCAGTTTTATGTCGTGTTGCCTAGAAAGTGAAAGCGTTATTTAGTTCAACCTATTTTTCAAATATGAAGTAAGTTTATTAGAAACGAATACCGTAATCGACTCACAGATGAACATTTAGATAATTGAATTCAAATGGCGGTATCAAATTATACTCCAAACATTAAGAAAATTGTCAGTGAGTCTGAGGGGCTCGTCATTGAACACGTATTTTTCATCTGGACATGTTTTTGTTTAAAATAGTGCGTTGCTTTTTTATTATTAGTTACATTTATTAAATCGTATGTGACATGCCATAGTAGCTGACGAAAAATTTTGTTTATTTTTCGAATACCTACGATTGGTAGGAATGGATGTACGTATTTAGTATGTATTAGTTATTAGTTCATTTAAGTTTTTCAGTATGGTATTAGTTTATTACAAATTTATCAAAGTATAGCTCAACACACCACGTGTGTGAAGTGGTTGAACCCAACGGAAGATGGTGTTCCGAGAAGGAACAGCTCGATTTGGCGACGAAACGTATGCTGTGCATCGCTGATAGATTCATTATGTCGGAGAAAACTGTTGTATGCGAAAACGTGGTGCTCCATAATGCCTACTGGTAAAAATGCTAGGAACGCCCGAGTCACATGATATCGATCCCATTGCTCTAACAATTCACCTACCTTTGCTTTCTCGAACATCTTCCCGGCGATAATCTCCGTGCTTTGGAACATGTCCTTTCCTGGCCCAAAGGCAATGCAACTCTTAGCCTCACCACCGCACGTGCTTCTCACTTCCTCGCAAGGCAGACCTGTGTTGACGCATTTTGGACCTGCTGTATTGGGAGATACGTCTCCTAGATTGGTGGAGGCAAAGGCACCGACAAATGTGCTCTGAAAGCCATATTAATAACGTTATATACTTTAAACCAAATTTGTCTGACGGATTAAGTTGAATGTGTACGAGAGAAAAGTGTGTATAGATACATATGCTAGAAAGAGATAGGAGCCATATATTATTGAATACACTGATAAACACAGGATTTGTGACATGACAATTTTTGGGTGTATCTTATGTATTTTGAGACCCTTAAATCAAATCTAAAAACAGAATTTTTCTATTAACATCTACGTTACAATACGTAACATCTCATATTGCTGCATTTCTCGGCGCTAATGCGATGACGCACATATATAATGTTAAGACCTGTCTATTCCTGTTGATTTTATGCGAGCTCTATGTTTAGAGAGCATATTGCGTGTATTAGTAGAATAATAGCAGCCGAGTCAGTTACGTTTTCTGTGTTGAAGAGTACTGAGATGTTCTGAGTACTGTTAATTTTTGTTAAAACGGTGTGTTGTTTTTAGTTTATTGTGATCGAGACTAGCTTTTTGGACAATGCCTAGAAATTGTGTAAAAAGGGCGAACAGTTTTTGTTATGTGTGCGGAGAGCTAACTTTTAAATCCCAAAAACGTTAATCAATTAATAAAAACCGGTTATTCCCTCTACGCGCCATGGCACTTCATATTTGTCATCTACTTAGTCGCTATGATGACTGGCTATGTAATGCTGGTGGTAATATACTATGGTTATTACTATAACAGAATCGTCTGTATTACGCATTTAAAAAGACTCTGCCCTTTATCAAATAAGCTGTAGTAAATCAGCTAGCATACCTTTCCTGGCAGTGAAGATGAGTCCATGCTAGTCTCCAACAAAATAGAAGCATATCCCACGTTGTCGGAAGAAATGAGGCAGTTGGTGTTGTTCATAGAAGTAGGATGCACGGCAAACCAGTTTATAGCTCCGATGGGTTTATTGTCAGCCTTGCTCACTATCTTCATTTGGGTTAACGTTTTATCCACGTTGGTCTGATACCTGCAACAAATGTCAGGATTATAGAGTTGTTGTTTGTTTGTTTGTTTAAGATTTATTTAGCATGATTGCTACAATTGCATTATTTTAAAAAACTAAACAATTACATAACATACAGATATTTAGAAAAAATAAAATTTGCATCTCCAAGAATTTTCACTATCCGTGAAATATTCCTTTAATCTTCAATCACAAGTAGACTCTATATCATTATTCAGTTTATTAAATGCAAGTAAGCCTTTCTGAAATATTGATTTGCTAGTTATATTACTATTGCAGTTTCGTGATTGAAGATCTACATTTCCTCTCGTATAATAATTGTGGTAATGATTATTCAATTCTATGTAGTATTCTAAATGTTGTGGCCAAACATGATTTTTTATTTTAAATATAAAAATAAGAACCAAATATGATATAAAAATTGTTATATTCAACCACTGCAAATCTTGTAACATATATTTTATTTTGGTTTACTTATTTTTATTCAATGTTATTCTCATAGCTTCATTTTGCAGGACTTGCAATTTTGAGAATACAGCTTCATTGAGGGTGAACAAGATAGTTGAACAATATAGAAAATGCGGGAGAATAATTGAATTATAAACTATTTTTTGGAATATGTACCAAGACTATGAGAAGCCCTATAAAAGTAATTTGTTTTTTTTTTGGAATTTTCGAAATAACCAATATATATATCTAAATATTTGATTGATTCCTCATTTTTTATTATTTCATCATTTATCCTAACTTTGGTAGTATTTCATTTAGGTATTTCCCTATCAGCATACATTTTGTTTTAGAAGTATTTAATTTTAGTTTATTTATATTTAACCAATTTATGATTTTTGCCAATTCAGAATTTAGCATTTTTAAAGCAGTCTCTATATTTTCATCTGATATGTATATTAATGTATCATCTGCAAATTTCTGAATTTTACATTAATCTAAAATATTACAAATGTCATTAATGTATAAAATAAATAGTAGTGGACCTAGTTTACTACCTTGTGGTACACCTACAGAAATATTTTCTGAGCTTGATAATGTAGATCCAATTTTGGTTTTTTGACTTCTATCAATTAAGAAGCTTTGTAGAATTTTGTATACAGATCCTTTAAATTCGTAGTGATGCAATTTTGTAAGTACTCGTAATTTATCGCGGTCAATAGTTTCAAACTCCCTTTCGAAGTCCAAAAACACTGTTACGGTATGTTTCCTATTGTCCATAAATCTCTTCCACAGTCCTCTAAAACACTTCAGTTTTGTTGGAAATTCGCCATATTTTAAACAGTAATTTATCAGGATTAATATTCTTGCTCAAATAATATCAAAACGTTCATTAAGCACAATTTTTGACAAAATCTCACTCTTACTTTGATTTGATCCAATTTTTGATACAATCTTCTTGAGACGATTAATGTAAGTATTTTTTGTGTGGTATATGTAAAAAACGTAATATTGTATATACACTGAGAAAGTAAAATATACTAAGTGACATATAAATCCGAACACCCAGTTTAAATGGTTTTATTTTAATAAAATTTTGTATAAGTACTTAATGAAGCATAATAAGTAAATGATAAAAATTTCAAAATGATTGCACTGCTTTAAAGCCCTTTGACCTTTAATAATGTGTGGATACACCCTGATGTGCTACGCATTCTCCAACGCGCCTAGGCATGCTTCTGATCAGGTGGTCAATATCCTCCTGTGGTATCTCATTCCAGGCAACCACCAACTCCTGTCGAAGTGCTTCTAGAGTCTGAGGAGGACGTTGTAAATTGAGCAATCTCCTACCCATCATATCCCACACGTGCTCAATTGGGGATAAGTCGGGAGATCTTGGTGGCCATGGTAACAATGTGACATCATTATGTTGAAAGAAGTCTATTGTGACTCTTGCAACATGTGGTCGGGCATTATCTTGTTAGAAAGTTGGATCTGCCAGGGTGTCAAGATAGGGTAAAAGATGGGGTTCTAGAACATCGTGGATATAACGCTGCGCGTCATTGTTACCTCTGATGAAGATTAAAGGTGACCTGGAACCATAAGCTATAGCACCCCAAACCATAACTCCAACAGTGTGATGAACATGTTTTTCAACAAAAAACTGTGGATTCCTCCTTTCACCACGTCGCCTTCTAACCCTGGCACGACCATCGTGCATGCCTAAACAAAATCGAGACTCGTCACTAAAGACAATACTGTTCCATTCCTAATCCCAGAGTGACCGTTGTCTGCACCACTCAAGGCGATTACGTCGGTGTTCTCGAGTTAAAGGGAGGACCCAGTGTGGCCGGTATGAAAACAAGCCAAAACTTCTCATTCGTCGGTAAACACTTCGCATGCCAATAGGTCTTCCGTGTTCTGCAAACCATTCATTTGCAATGGACCTGGTAGTGGAGAAACGGCCCCTTAAGGCCAATAATCTTAGGCGGCGATCATCACGGTCTGTTGTTCTACGGCGGCGTCCAGTGCCCCTTGCTCTTTGCGTACGGCCTTCTCGAAGCCATGCCTGACAACACCTAACCACAGTGTCTACACTTCTTTGCACTCTAACTGCAATTGCCCGAAAAGAAAGTCGAGCTATACGGCCCCTATCAAACTCACTAAGTTGACGAAATCGTACAGGTCTCCGTACTCTAGGCATCGTAACCGATCGTAAAGGATGTCAAGAACCAAAATCCGCCAACGTTGATTCTTTACTGCGACTGAAATATTCATTTTTAGAGCGTTAGTGAATTAAAAAAAAGCAGTGTAAAAACCGGAATGTCCAACTGATAAGGCTGAAAATTTTTTCACTTGTTATTTACAGTGAGATAAATACATTCACCAACTTTTATTAAAATAAAACCATTTAAACTGGGTGTTCGGATTTATACGTCACTTAGTATAATTAAATCAATTAAAATTTCAGCTAAGCCAATTAAAAAATTTTATTACCTATGTAACTTCGATTTCTAAAACTACTTCAATTGAATCAAAACACATTCGTTTAAATTTTGAAACCGTTTACTTAGATTGAGTACACCGATTTGTTTAAAGTCAATAAACTATTAAAACAAGTTTACTTGCTCCAAGTGGATCAATTCAATCATATACTCTGTGACTTTAGAAATGTTATACCCAGAAAAAATATTTTCTTCAACTTGATTTTTGGCAATCAGGTAGTCTTACATCAAGAATGAAACGATCGAAATTTTATTGAAAAGTAATAAGAAAAAAATCATTAATGTGTTGGGCGACCCCGCAGCTAAGTGCACTATATAATAATAATAATAATAATAATAATATAATATTTATTTACTCAATGTACAAAGATAACAAACAATATGAATAAATAAATATAAAATCAAAACAGGCCCAATAGAAGGCATCGCCTGTACATGGACCAATAATTTAAGTTGAAACTGTAGAATGCAAATGACAAAAAAGGACAAAAATTAGCTACAGTAGATTATGTATTTAGTTGATGTTCGTATTTATGAGTTTATGAATTTCAGTCCTAGATATAGAATGTAGCCACTTTTTTAAATTTCTTTTGAAACAATTTCCGAAACGTAAATCTTTTAAGTCTTTAGGTATAATTTGATAAAATTTAGGCGCTAAATAGAGATATGATCGCTGCATTATAGATTTATGCGGTTGAGGAACTACTGTGCCACGAATTTTGTACCTGGTATAATGATTATGTTTAATTTTTTGGTCGGTGTTTACAAATTTATGGTAGTGAGTGATACTGTGTAAGAAATAAAGCTGTCTTATATCATACATTCGAACATCTGCGTATAATTTTTCAGTGGGATAAAGTTTCGGTTTTTTAAATATCATTTCTAGAATACTTTTTTGAAAAATATCTAAATTATAGATATGTGAGGTACATGCAGCTCCCCATGCTAATATACCATATGTGAGATGAGGCTCAATCAGTGCATGGTATAGTGTTCGAAGATATTTTTCTGTCAATATATTCCCAAGGTATTTAATTTTGTAGGATACAAATCTAACTTTCTTTAAAATATAATTGACATGGATGTCCCATCGTAAGTGAGGATCCAAGACCACTCCAAGGTATTTTATGTTGGGCACTCTATTAATTTGCATTTTTTGATCATTAATATTGAAGGATAAATTTGTGTAATTTGGCAGATGTCTAGCATAAGATCCAAATGGTAAAAAATGTGTTTTAGAGTAGTTAATGCTTAATTTTCTACTGTTAAACCACTGAATAATTTTGATAAAATCATTTTCAATTACATTTTTCAGATCAGACCAGTCAGTGCCTTCATATAATATTGCAGTATCATCTGCAAAACTAGTTATTTTGCCAACACAATTAATTTGGAAAATATCATTTAAATATATATTGAATAACAGCGGACCTAAGACAGTTCCTTGTGGGACACCACACTTAATATACATTTCTTTACTAAATGATCCTGACATCTGCACAGATTGTGGGCGATTTGACAAATAACTTTCGATCAGTGAGTACGCGTTTCCTCTGAAACCAATTCTCTCCAATGCTTCTAATAATAATTTGTGATTAACTGTGTCGAAAGCTTTCTTTAAATCAACAAAAATGCAGATTGAAGGGATTCTGTTATCAATATTTTGATGTATTTGATTTACAATTTTAGTTATTGCGTCCGATGTAGCCTTCCCTTCTGTAAATCCATATTGATTTTCACTTAAAATTTTGAATTTTGTGAGGTATCGAATCATTCTAGTAGATAAAACTTTTTCAAAAACCTTTGCTACACTGGATATTATTGATATTGGTATAGTTGTTAACATCTGTTTTTGTTCCTGATTTATGTATCGGTATTATATTACCTTTTTTTAAAATTGAGGGATATATGCCAGATTCAAAGCATTTGTTGATTAGGTAAGTGAGTGGTTCTGTTATGTCCTCGGCTATAATTTTCAAATGCTCGCTTTTAATACCATCGAACCCAGGACTTTTCCGATTTTTTAAGGACATAACACTGGTGTATACTTCACATTGTTCGACTTTATCCAAAATAAATGAGTTCAAAGTTCTTTTTGGAGGCTGAGTATTTTGTACATTTGCTTGTATATTACTTGCTAAATTTTGGCCTATGTCAGTAAGGAATTGTACAAATTCATGGCATATCTGTTGAGTATTTTTTAATACTGTTCCCGATGTTGAATTTAACTCAGTGACACACTCTTTAACTTTTGTTTTCCCAGTAATCTCATCAATAGTTGTCCAAAGCCGCTTAGGATCATTTAAGTTATTATTCAATTTATTTAGGTAATGTTTTCGTTTGGTTTGCCTTACAAGCTCTATAAATTTATTTTTATATTGGTTGTAGCAGTCGGTATTCTCTGTAGTTGGCGTTAGTTTCATTACATTATATAGTCTTTCTTTTTCTATTGCCGATGTTATTAATCCTTTGGTAATCCAGGCATTTCTGCTTTTCTCTTTGTGACTGATTATTACTGTATTGGTACTAATATCTATTAGTTTTTTTTATTTTCTCTATGAACAGTCCCGTTGCTTTGTCTATATTATTTATAGAGTATAATTGTTCCCAGGATTCTTGTTTGACATTTGATATTAGTTTTGAATTGACGACAAAAAATTTGTAATTTTCCTGGTTGTTATTAACGGTAGGGATGTTAGAATGTTTTTCATTTGAAGATATCAGTAAAATAGTGGAGAAGTGGTCAGTAATATCGCTTTCTAGGATTATTGGTATACAAGTAATTTTGTTGGATAGGTCTTTCACAAAGCAGTGATCTATGCACTATCTAATTGAACCGTTCATATTGCCAGATCGGATGGATGGTCAACAGCATTTGAAATGTATTCGGAATGATTTGCCGGTCCTTCTTGATGTGGCATCTCCGCATTTTCGTTTAGAAGTTCGTGATTTTTTTAATCAGGTATACCAGATAAGCTGGATCGGAAGGGGTGGACCAATAGCATGGCCTCCACGGTCTCCCGATGTAAATCGTCTGGACTTTTTTTTATGGGGATACTTGAAAAACGAGGTATACCGTACTCCAGTTCAGAATATTGAAGAATTGCGTGACCGAATCACAGTGGCTGCCGATAATTTGAGCCTTCAGTCACAGCAGGAAAGAGGTGTATTTGAATTAGTGCGCCGAAATTAGATTATTGCAGTCAATGGAAACAATTTTGAACCACTTTTATAAGTAAGCGAACTGTTAAGCTGTATTATTTTATTATCTCGATTTCTGTAGGACTTTTATGACATTCTTTTTTCTGAGAAATCAACTTCTTTTGTAACAGTGCATATGTGGTTAAAATTTGTCGGATAAGTTGTGAAACGGGCATCGACAAAATGAGATGTGGCAGAGGCTTTATACATCTTCCACTTGAGTATATTTCAGCACACTGTTGTATTGTGTCTCATCCAAACGAACAATAAAAAAAGACAGATTTGAGTAGGTTGTACAGAACGTATCTACTACACGCCATCTTTTCAGACGGGTATACAGTCACATAGAAATTCATTCAAAAATGACCTTACCTTTTCAATTCCTCTGCAGGGTTGAACAAATATGAGGCTGGACTCCTGTTTATGTTTGCGCCATGTACTTCTCCGTCGTTCCAGTATATCTCTGCTTCTATCATGCTTTCGTGTGCTCTTTGCACCGACTGAAAGAAAAATTTAATTTTATTAGTCAGCAAATTAATTACTAATTACTGTGCTGTGGAAAATATCTATATCAGACGCACTGCTGTTTCCTCACATCTTGCTATATATATATAACAAAAATAGGAAAATAATGGGCAAAATCCGCAAAAAGTGGATTCGAGCAGAAAATAGGATAGGTAACCCGAGCGATACGTATTTCTGCTGGTTGGCTTCATCAGGCCCGAAATGAATGCACATATGCAATTACAAAAGTAGATACACATGCCCACACATCCGGATACGGGTGTAACCTGAGGAAACGAAGATGGAGAGGAAAAAAAAAGACACACGAAGTCCACAACAAGAGCCAACCTACACATTGTAGTATAAAATGGCTAGAAGACCTTGAACTTTCAAGGCGACAAATAACCACAACCACGCGGCCGGTTATAGCCACTGGCTGTGGTACTTCAAGCCCACAGCATCTACAAAGAGAAAATTATCATTCAGAGAAAGGTATATAACAAAAACAGGAAAATAATGGGCAGGATCCGCAAAAAGTGGATTCGAGCAGAAAATAGGATAGGTAACCCGAGCGATACGTATTTCTGCTGGTTGGCTTCATCAGGCCCGAAATGAATGCACATATGCAACTACAAAAGTAGATACACATGCCCACACATCCGGATACGGGTGTAACCTGAGGAAACGAAGATGGAGAGGAAAAAAAGACACACGAAGTCCATAACAAGAGCCAACCTACACATTGTAGTATAAAATGGCTAGAAGACCTTGAATTTTCAAGGCGACAAATAACCACAACCACGCGGCCGGTTATAGCCACTGGCTGTGGTACTTCAAGCCCACAGCATCTACAAAGAGAAAATTATCATTCAGAGAAAGGTATATACAAAAATAGGAAAATAATGGGCAAGATCCGCAAAAAGTGGATTCAAGCAGAAAATAGGATAGGTAACCCGAGCGATACGTATTTCTGCTGGTTGGCTTCATCAGGCCCGAAATGAATGCACATATGCAACTACAAAAGTAGATACACATGCCCACACATCCGGATACGGGTGTAACCTGAGGAAACGAAGATGGAGAGGAAAAAAAAAGACACACGAAGTCCACAACAAGAGCCAACCTACACATTGTAGTATAGACTAGAAGACCTTCCTCTCCATGTTCGTTTTATATTAATTTTAACGAATGTACCATGTATACAGCTTTCACCAGGCAACTAAATGTTTCCCTCAACCTAACCGTTAATAACAATTAGCAACAGTCTCACATACTAATGTAAGTAATTTAAAATCATTTTGTACAATAGCTGCTATTTCTTCTCAATGTTATTGCAGCTCCTGATGAAGATGGCAAAGTCCATCGAAAGCTAGAGGTTAATAAAATATAAAGAGTCCTCTTTGCTTGAATTTTGTCGAAGTTCCCAACGAAAGGCGGAAGCTTGATTTTTCAACTAACTGGTCTAAACGACAATGACCTCGTCTCAAGTTATATACAGGGTGACTTCGAAGTTGAGTCATTTATTTTAACAGTGATCAAAAGAAATGTTTTTTCCTTTACCATTTTTCTGGTAAAATTAAAGTAACAAAGTTATAGCCCTTTGGAAGTTTGAGTACCGCACTGTCTCAATAATAATATTATGTGCTCGTGTTTGGCGACAACGGTTCATCGCATTGGAAACAAAAAAGCGAAAGAATTTGGAACGATGTTTTTACAATTATTTGTATACAGTCAGTGTCAGTCGGTAACGCGTGAGTGAATAGTGGTGTCTGTTGCGTGGCTCAAACGAAATCAAAAATGGCACATGTTTACGAAAATGCTGAACTTGTGGGCATGCGGCATCACGGATTTATGCGGATCGGTTTCCCAATCGAGTGCAACCAACCCCTCGTGCCTTTGTTAATGTAGTACAAAGGGCTCGTGAATCAGGTGACTTAAGACCTCACAGAGGACGGCATGCCGGTGCTCCAAGACCGCACGATCAAATTCAGGTCCGCACTGAAATACTTGTCGGGAGGATACTTTATAAAACAAGGTAATTTTTTTTTTTATTTTTACACACATATTTTGCTTTATCTTCCTTCTACAATCATTATCTGAAAATTAATGACTCAACTTCAAAGTTACCCTGTATATATATATACAGGGTTATCCAAATTAAGTGTCCACCATTAGTAACTTTGTTATTAGTGAAAATACAAAGTTGTTTGAATTAGCAAACTAGTAGCATTTTTAACGCTGGTAAAAATGAGATATAAAAAAAACAATTGAGAGTCGTTATTTTGATTTTTTTCAGTAAAATAACATTTTTTTAAATGGAAACCCCTGTATATTATATTTTTTTCTGTTAAAGCATCAAATTTTAAACAAAAAAGCTTACAATAACTTTTCTCCAAGGTTACAAATTGTTGAAGTTATGGCCTCCAATCTGAAACAATTAAATTGTATCGACAAACTTTATTTTCAACATCAACTTATAATCTTACAAAATACAATAACAATTTTTTTTAAAGAAGATGCTCGAAAACACCACCTCGTCCTTCAATACATTTTTGGGCACTAAATAGCATTCTAGCATATCACACTTTTCTTCATGGGAGAACATTTTTCTTTAAATTAATGACACAATAAAGCTTATAAACAAGTATTTACACTAATGTTTGACATTATTCGATTTTATCATTGTTTTCCAAAGCCTTCTAGTTGCGAGTATGTCCAGTTTAACAATTTGTCGCTTATCTTAATGCTGTCAAATCGCGAACGCCATGTTGTTTTCATAGCCGTCTTAATATTATAATACTGCAAATAATTAAAAATATTTATCGTTATTTTGACTTTATTTTTGACTTTAGCGGAAAAGTCATTATGAACTTTTTTGTTTAAAATTTGATGCTTTAACAGAAAAAAATATAATATACAGGGGTTTCCATTTAAAAAAATGTTATTTTACTGAAAATAACGACTCTCAATTGTTTTTTTTTATTTCTCATTTTTACCAGCGTTAAAAATGCTACTAGTTTGCTAATTTAAACAACTTTGTATTTTTACTAATAACAAAGTTACCAATGGTGGACACTTAATTTGGATAACCCTATATATATATATATATATATAATCTGTAGAATAGCTTCTGTCTAGCTGAGTCCTCTGTTCTTAAGTGTCAATGCAATTCCGTCATTCCACGTCATTTTTGTCTCCCTCTAGTTCTTTTCTTCATAATTTTAGCCTCCCATATTCTTTTGACTGGTCTAGCTTCTTCCATGCGGATTAGATGCCCAAACCATTTCAACTGGTTTTTCTAGATTTTTTTCCAAGACACATCTAACCACTAACTCACTTTGTATAATCTCGTTCCTAATTTTGTCTCTCCTAGTCACTCCTTTTACTGCTCTCAAGTACTTAATATCTATTGCTTGTATTTTGCTTCTTTGTCGATTGTTCAATACCCAGCTTTCGCTTCCAAAAGTCAGGATGGTTTTATATACCGTCATTTTGGTCTTTCTGACTATTTCTTTTTCCGATATGAACGATGTTTTTATGCTATGATACAGGTTCGATGCTTTAAGTAATAGTTTTTTTATTTCTTCGTCCATTGTTCCGTCTTCCTGTATTTGTATTCCCAAGTATTTGAATGCCTGTACTTGATCTATATATCTTCCTCCCGAGATTATTTTAAGTTATTTCCCTTGTCTAGTAGTCAGAACTTTTGTTTTAGGAATGTTAATACAGCAGATGCTCGATAACGTAAACACGGGATAATGAAAACTTGCGCTAATGTAAACACAAACTTCGTTCTATAGGATCAAACGGAACGCGCGATAACGTAAACAATGTGTACGCTCGATAACGTAAACAACTCTCGGCGCACGGAAACAGCGCGACGGTAAAATGCTGAAGCCTCGCTGATTTATGTCGGGCGTCGGGGAGACCTAGAGTGTAGGGGATTCACCTCTGCGATAAAATACGACAAACTCGGTCAGTCGTATGATCGTTTAGGATACGTTTATACGTACGTATGTATTTCATTTTTGAACTTAAGTGAATACATTGCACGCGTTAATATATTTTACGACTATGGCATCCACATCCTATAAAAGAAAGTGTTTAAAGTTGAGTGAGAAAGTGAAAATCATAGACGAAGTTGCACTAGGTGCGGGAGTGACACAGTTAGCAAAAAAATATGGAGTATCGAAAGCAACAATCTGTAAAATTAAGCGTATGAAATCTCAATTTTTACAAAGAACGTGCAATACATTTGGAGGTTCGGGAAAAAGAAAAACTTAAAAAAATGCGAGGCACCTAAAATGGAAAATTCCCTGTATAAGTGGTTTTTAAAACAACGGGAAAATCATGTCCCAGTTAGTGGCGAAGTACTTAAAAAGAGAGCGAGACTGTTAAATGAAAAACTGAAAGAAACTGAAAATTTCGTAGATAGTGATGGTTGGCTACAATGATTCAAAACAAGATATGGAATTCGACTGCTGTCTATATCTGGTGAAAAATTATCAGCACAACCACAATTAGTGCAACCATTCAAAGAAAAATTGATGAAAACAATTACCGAGCTAGATTTAAGAATGGAACAAATTTACAACGCAGATGAAAGTGGCCTTTATTGGAAAATGTTACCAGAGAAAACCTATGCTGCATCATCTGAAAAATCTGCCCCGGGAAGAAAGCCGGAGAATCAACGAATAACGTTTCTAGCCTGCACTAATGCTAATGGTTCACAAAAAATAAAGCCACTGGTAATTCGGAAAGCAAAAAATCCGCGCTCATTTAAAAATGTTAATATCCCTGTTGATTATGACTGTTCAAAAACCGCTTGGATGACTAGCAGTATATTCCTGAAATGGTTCCACAGGTGCTTTGTCCCTCAGGTATGACAATCAATTATCACAAATGGTCTATTCATAATTTAAAGATGTGTTTTCAATTTGTAGGTAAAAGGTTTCCTAAAACAACAGAAGCTTCCAATAAAAGCGTTGTTACTATT